TTTTGTTTTGATGAAATAGAGATGATTCCATGGCGGCAGGCAAAAATTTTGGGAGGCCAAGTATCCAAATTCCTAACGTTTTCAGCGCCGCAGGCAAAAATTTCGAGATTTTAGAAGGCTAGCGAGTCAAAATTCTCCTTTTTTTAGCGCCGCAGGCGAAAATTTTTTGAATTTAGAAGGTTAGGAGCCAAAATCCTCCATTTTCCAAAAATCCCGCAAAATTCAAAATATTTTGCGGGATCCCGCGGGATAAAATTTTTTTAAAAACCTTTGCGGGACGGGATCCCGCGGGATAAATCCCGCAAAATCCCGCATTCCCGCAAAATCCCGCAAATCGAAAAAAGTGCGGGATTGCGGGACGGGATCCCGCAAAATCCCGCGTGGGATCCCGTCCCGCGCCGACCTCTACTTACTATTAAAATATAAAGTTTAATAGATTTTATCGCATAATTGTGTTCGTCATTGGTAAAATACATATTGTGTTTACTTTGAAAGTATTTTTGTTTTGGGAGAATGTGTAATATTTTAATAATGCTTTTTAAATAAATAAAGTATATGTAATTTTTTGTAATTTTTGTGGTTTGCATTTCGTTGTAATTTATGTGGATTTTTAATGACTAATTTTTCAACTTATTTTTTATTTTTGCTTAATGAAAATTTTTTTCAGAAATTTAAATAAAATTGAAAGCATTGTATTGCCATAAATGACCGATTTAAAACTTTTTATTGATCCATATGAAGCTCCATATCCTAGCACAGTACGTGAATTGCTTAATGACAGTGAGTTTATAATTTTAAATTAATAATTATTAAAATAGCCGACAAGAGGAAGGCTAATATTTGTGCTACCGCCACTCCGTTAGGAAGATGTCTGCTTATCTGCAATAATCATATTTATGTTTGGTCGTTTATAAAATCTGTAGGATTTAAAGGTTTTTATAATTTACTATTATTTTCAAGGAATCTGGAATTCCGCATGCAACTCATATGGAGTTGCCTACTACTGGTTTGAAATATTCTGTGCAGCTTGTGTGCCTTTTCAATAAAAGTAAATAATTTTTTAACTATTAAAACATTAAAGAGTTCATTATCATTATATATTCATTTTAGTTTTTAACAGAACTAAAAACATGTTTTCTGGTTGTTTCAGACCCCCTGCTTTAGGGTTGAATTTCCATATAATTGAAGGCATTGCTCATAGGTTTAATTTTCAAATTTAACAGGTCAAGCTTCCAAATATTTGAGTTTGCTTGCAATTTCACCAGAGGGTCATCTCCGATATTGGAGTGAACTGGGCAAACAAACACGAAATGAACAATGTCTTCTGAATAATGAAGTTGCCCATTCTATTCAACAAATCAACTCTCAAGGTTACAATTTTAAATAAATTTGATTTTTTAAATGTTTTTTTGAAGAAAATGTTCATCGATTTCTTTTGACGACAACAACTGGTTCTTTTCACATTATTGACCTTTTCCATGGATTGGACCAGCCTGATCGATTAGCAACACGCCCTCTTGATGTTGGTGGACCCGGGGGAGGAATTGGACATCGAATGTCTCTTTTGCTTTTTGGAAGTTTGACTGCAGAGAAAGAAAGGTTGGAAAGAGGATTTTAAATATTTAAGAAAAAATCATTTTTTGAATTTAATTTTAGGATTTTGAAAACAATTTTTGTTCATGGAAAGATGAGCCCGCGTTCAGACGTTGTTAATGTTCTGAGGCGTTGCCTTCGCTTCTACTCAATTTTTGATCAAAAAGCATTGGATCATGAAGTGGATATTGCTGATTTGGCTCTTATTAAATTCAACAAAGTATCCATTTATTTAAATTTTTTTCGATTTTTTTCAATTTAAAGAACTGTTCTCGCTCTGAAAGACGTCATTTTAGTATTGTCGATGCAATTCAACATTTGAATGGAATTCTTATGCTTTTAGTAGGCGAGAAGAAGTCTAATGAAGTTGGTGGGAGAGATTACTTGGTTGATAGAAAGCTTTTTATTGGTTAGCTTTTAATATAACGTTAATAATATATTTGTTTTAATTTTATTAGGTTACTATGAGGAAAAATTTGAAAAAGATGCAATCCAGCGCAATCTTCGTACCTTAACTGAAATTGAATTGCCAGAGTCTCTATCTGCTGTGGGGATGGTAAGAATTTTTTATTGTGTAAATAGCTTGGAGTTTGAATAACGCTTAAATAATTCTTAAGGATAAACGTCTACAAACAGCTCAATTACTTTCTCCTAGTACTGATGAATGTTGTGTTGCTTTTTATGATTCTTTTGTTCTTATTCGTCATTATGCTGCCAAATCACGTTTTGTTTATTTTTGTCATTTTAAAATCATTATTAATTTTAGGTGTTTCTTTTTTTATTATCGAAAGCTATGCAACCAACAATGCAAAAAGCCCGATGCGGCAATACGCTGGTGACACACTTTTTGGCGTAAGTTGAGTCTTTAAATTCAAAATTCTTCTTTTTTATAGTCTGCTGCAATTCATGGATCTGCTACTTTGGTTCTCAAAGACGGTGGTGTTTGCACTGTTCAACGACTTCCCAGTCATTATGATTTAACTTTTTGGAAGAAAGTATTTATTAAATTCTCTAAATTTAATACTTTAATTCAGCACCAAGAAATTTTACATCAATTGGACACTCAAGAGAAATTTACAGTTACTGGCAGTGAACATCGTTTGAAGGATGCTTTTGTTGAGTTTTGTGCCAAAAATATTGTTTGTTAAATTAGCTTTAAAAACAAATTAACGATTAAATTTAAAGAAACGGTCCAAGAAATTATTGCGTGACATGCTTAATGATATGCAGAGTGCTGGTGGATCTGACACTGCTTCAGCTTCACATCAACAAGTTTGTGAAGTCTGTCAAGTAACTTTAAATATTTTAATTTTAGGAGAAACATTATGACGGATTGTCAGAATTAGCTGTTGATTTATTGCTTTATTTTCTTGATAGACAACCTATGGCTAAAGAAGATGAGCGTTGGGGATTTGTATCTGATTCTTTAATTACGAATGGTTTAATTATTTTAATAATATTTTTTAACTTTTTATTGAATTGAAGAACAACAAAAGCTTTTACGAGAATTGGCAGAAACAAAGAAATTCACACTTCTATTGCGTCAGCTCCAAATTAAATTGTCTTTTTACAAAATGTTTGTACTTTTCCTGCGTACATACAAACTTACTGATATGGTTAATTTTTATTTTGTTTTTATTGGGTTTTCATTATCTGGACCATATACTTTTTTCTGTTTTCACTATTTCTTACATTGGTTGAGTAATGATATGATGTATTTTTAGTCTATGGGATCTTTGATGTTGTTCTCATTTCGGATCCTTCATTTTCATGTTTCATTTTTCATCTAATTGTAATCTTATTAAAAATTTTCAGATTGAGTATCCATTACAATCTTTCCAAATGCGTAGTGGCAAGGCTGTTATAGCCGAATTAGGTGAAAAATTAGTGTCAATGATTGCAACATTTAGATGGCTCAGCGAGCATAGTTTTGTCTTTTTTATTTTTCTTTACAACTTAATTAGGTCAATCCTTGCCTTTGGTCAACCGAGCTATGAATGAATTGGCAAAAAGTTATGTAATCCGTTTTGGTTTGCCAAAAAGTAATCCTTATTTAAGTCCAACTGATTATGTTTATAGCAAGGTTAAGAATTTATTTTTAGATATCAAGGGCGTAGCCAAGGTGGGGGCTTCTGGGGCTAAAGCCCCCCCCCCCCGAAATGGGAGAAAGGGGAGAAAAATTAGGAGAAGTGAATTTTTTTGGCCTACGGCCTTCATAATTTTAAAAATTTTCGCCTGCGGCGCTAAAATGGAAAAAATCTGGCTTCTGAGCTCCAAAATTCAAAAAATTTTCGCCTGCGGCGCTGAAAATCACAATTTTTGGCGCCTGCGGCGCCGAAAAAGTGAATTTTTTGGCCTACGGCCTTCTAAAATTAAAAAAATTTTCGCCTGCGGCGCTGAAAAAAATAAAAATATGGTTAAAAAAAATTTGCGTCCAGAACGCCAAGGTAAACGCCAAAAATTTTGCGCACACCCAGTATTAGCCCCCCCCCCCCCCCCCCCCCCCCGAAATCGACCCTCTGGCTACGCCCTTGTTAGATATGTAAATTACCGAGTTTTACATTTAAGGTTTCAACATTTCATGAATTAGTTTCGTCTGTTGTTCAAGCTGGTGATCAGGCAATGTTAGATAATTTACATTCAAAAGCACAAGTTATTATTGAGGTTCATTCTCTTTGATTTTTATTTAATAATCTGTATTTTATTGTTAGGTTGGATCTTTACTTCTAACTTTGGTTGAAGGTGTTCAGGATGCTCGTCATGAGGATTTTGCAATTCATATAGAAAATGATATTTCGACATGGCTAAATCAACCAGACTTTCTCACCCATTTTACTGCTCATGTTTGTTTTAAAAATTTTTTTTCCTTTTTAATTAGTTTGAAATATAATCCCACACACAAACACACAATGTTACTAAATAACTTTAGCTATATTATAAGCAAAACTTTACAGGCTGTCCTCAAGAAAACTTTCCTGGATTATCTGAACATGCCTTTTAGCTAATTTTTCTAAAAAATTAAATTTCTTGCCTCATTTGCTAAATGTCCACCCATAAAAGTAATGGATGTTTATTTCTCGAGGCAAAAATAATTGAATAATGATTAAGGCATTATTGACTTTTACCTGGTTATTAATGTTGGAATTATTTATTACATTTCAAAATCAATTTTATTAATTAACCTTTCTTAAAATTTCATTTAATCTAAAATATTTAAGTTAAATACTGCTCTTGACTTTTTGACTTCATCAATTCCAGCATCAGCAGTTACAACATTAGATGAACAAACACAACTTCCCACTCCTCATTCAACAATTTATGAGCAATGTCTTCAATTAGCCCATTTTGTTCTTTCACAACAATCTTCAGCTCAACGCAATGACTCAGAAATTATTTCACGTTTTGCGATGTTGGGTCATCAAAGGGATGCTTTAGAATTGGCTGAAAAGTATAGAGTATGTTTATATTAAAATATTTTTCATTAAAATTGGGTAGCAATCAGTTTAGGGCTTAATTTTTGAGAAAATTAAAGAATTTGAAATATCTTTCATTAATAATTTTTAAATTTTTAGAAATCTAAATTAAATATTATTTTAATAAAATTAAGGATTTTACTTTCCTCGTTGTTTACTGCTACAATAAACTTGATAAACGACAATGTGAGGAAGCATTGAATAGATACAAAAAAGAATACGAGAATGATAAGTGGGGATTTTTTTTAACTCTTTAATTTCTTTCAATTTATATTTTTATAGCTTTTACGATTTTCTTTATACTTGGTATCAACAAAAAGGTTTTTCTAATTTTTAAATTTTTTAAAATTTTGAATAATTTAAAGGAATGTTTAATCATCTTCTTGCTGAACCTGGGAAAAAAGCTAGTGATTTTTTAGCAAAACGTCAAGAACTCAATTGGATAAGACAAGTTGAAGAAGGCCAATTTACACAAGCAAAAATAACATTGAAAAAGATGGCAAATAATGAGAAAGATGATAACAAAAAATTGGTTGGATTTTTTTATTAAGTAAAATGAAATTTGATTTATAATATTATTTGGTTTCTAATTTAAAAATCTAAATTAGCATAAACATTTTAAAGTATTTTTTAAATTTATTTCATTTCAGATAGAATTGTCGTTGTGTAAATTCGCTGCTGTTTGTGAGGAACAAGAAAACTTGCCTGAAATTGCTGAATTATCTAAACAGATAAGTGAATTACATGAAAAACAAAGGATGAAAGAAATGAATAGAGAGGGAAGTGAAAATATTGAAATAGAGTAAATGAAGGAATTCAATATTAAAATGACTTTCTTTAACTCTTTTATTTTTTTTCGATTTTTAATTTATTTAAATTTTCGATCTCTTTTAAATCGTCATTTAATTTAAAAATTTTATACAGAAATAAACTTGTTTTAACCTAAGTTGTTTTTTATTTAAGCTTTCTCTTTTAAATAAACGAAAGATTTAATTAAAATAAAAACTATCAAAACATAAGAAAACTGTTATGGACTTAAATAAAATTGAATATTTTTTGCTTCTCTTCATTAACAATTAGGATTTCCTGTTATAAATGTGTGTTTAACGGACAAATTTTATATATTTAAATAGAAATTTAAACCAAAATTTTCACATTAACCTACATCTTAAAATACATGGAAACTTTAGTTTATACTTATCTCGTGAGTATTATATCACGGCTCAAATTTTAATACAGTAAAATAATTTATCATAAATTATAACGAGAGGAAGTATTAAATTTTTAGTAAGATTTTTCCTCTTAATCCTGTCAATTCTTAATAGGCCCAATATTTAATGTTTCAAATAAATCTATTATGTACTTATTCTTGTTAAAATAAATTTCGTGAAAACTCTTGCGTGCGTAAAGTATTTTTTAAGTTAAATTTAAGTAAAATTGAAACATTTTCCAAGAATTATAAAATTTTTTTAATAAATTCCAATTAAACAAACACGCACTAAGAATATAATTATTTAAGATTAGTGTTAAAAATTAATGAATTGAAAAAATTAAATAAAAGAAATTGCATGCTAAAATTGTTTGTACGTTAAAACTTTCAAAAAAAATTTTTTTTTTAATTTTATAATAATTTAAAAAGTAAAGAAATGTTGCATGTTTAAAGAATTTTTTTAAATAATTTCAAAATCTCAGAATTAAAAAAGTTTTTAGACTTGATTTATTTAATTATTTTATAGTTCCAAAATTAAAAAAAATCTTACATTAAAAGAAATTTATATAAAATAAAAATTTTTAAGCAATTTTATTAACATATTTCCCAAAAATGAGTCAACAAAATTATTCAACAGCTTTGGAAAATTATCGCCAAACGGGAGATATTTGTGCTTATTTAAACATAACATTAACAACTAAAAGTGATGTAGAGAATTTGTCTGATAAATTAAATGCTTTAGATATTTATCAGGGAACAAATAAAAGTTTTTTAACAATTTATTTGCCAACAATGGCACATCAATTAATTGTTGGAGAATGTTCTTATAATTTTAAATCTCAACAGATGAATGTATAAAAATATTTTTTAATATTAAAATTTTAATTTAAAAATTAATACTTTCGAAAAATGTATGAGTCCCCGTATGTCACAAAATTTGAGAAAATTCTGGTTCGAATTTTCAGGACTAAAACCTTCAAAAACTTGGTAATAGGTTCGAAGGAAGTCAGGGTCCTAACCTGCTTCGAACTCTTGCACTTTTCTGGAGATCCACGGCCGATGCCAGGCAAAATGGGTTTAGCTTTTTTAATGTGGTTTCTGTGTGCACTTAAAAAAGTGAACGGCCCGATAGGAATCGAGGCAAGCAATTTATCCTTTCCTTCTCTAAATTTTATTTAAAAAGATCAACTTTTATAAAATTAAATAAAAATTAAAATTTTTAGACACAATCTTATTACAACAGCACACTTATCTATTATGATGAATTAAGTTTTATTAAACCAATAGTTCCTTGGATGATTATCCCGGGAATATTTACAATTATTTCTATAATTTTAAATATTTGTTTAATTTATGTTTCAATTCGAAAAATGTAACTATTTTTTAAAAATTTCAAAAAATTCAAAATTATATTTTAAAGTCCAATGGTTAGAATGTGCAATTTATTAATTGTTTTCGATGCTTTTTGTCTAATTTTGGCTGTTTCTCCTTTTGCTTTAAATTTTGTAGCTTTTATTTTGAATTTTGCGACAGTTGATTGGCGTGTTTGTTTTTATTTTCATTTAATTTCAACAATTGGCACGTATTCCTCCTTTTTGGCTATCTATTTTATTTCTTTGGAAAGAGCTTTGATTATATTTTGTCCAACAAAGTTTGTAGTTTTTAATAAATTATGAAAGATAAACGGCGAAATAAAATTAAATTTTAAAAAAATATTTAGAATATTTAAAGACATTAAAAGTAAATGCAGTTATGTGTCTGAAAAATTATATCTAAACCACCCTAAATTGAGCCCCAGTTTGTGGTTAGTTGAAATATAGAGCCGCATGGGGCTTTATTTTAGGAAATACGGTATTTATAAATGAGATCCGATAATTTATTTAAAAATCAAAAAATAATTAAAAATAAATTCTTTAAATTAAATTTTGAATTAAAGAATACACAAAATCCGTACTTCTACAATTCACCGTATTTCCTTTTTAATTTTTATTGTTTGTATTCTGTTTGGTATGATAATGGTATTAATTGAATTTAATGTTTGGACTATACTTAATCTTCCATATTATAAGTAAAATAATTAAATTTTTAATTTTAAATATATTTTATCTTTTTTAGATTATTTTACTGTAATTCTGGTTTATATTCTGATATTTTAAATTCAATTCCCTCATATTTTATTTTGTCTGCTTCTTCTTTAAATTATTTTTTAATTTATTTTTCAATTTATTGGCGGTATTTAAAATCAAAAGAAAAAAATAAAAAAATAAATAATCAACAAACAAATAATTCTTCTTCTTCCCCTTCAATTCCCGATCCAAATCTTCGAATTCTTCGTTCAGTTTTCATAATTTCTTTTATAATTATTTTTGGTTGGATATTTGGTTCTGCTGCAAGAAATCCTGTGACAACATTATGTACAAACATGGCCACAGCTATTTCTAATATTTTTAAAGACGAAAAAGGCAATCCATCACAGACAATTTATGATATTTTACGTACATATTCGATTAGTTTAATTACTTGTATTAATCCAATTTCTGCTGGAATTAACTCGATTATTCTTTTTACTTCAAAGTAATCATTTATTGTTTTTAAAAATATTTAAAAACATATTTTTTTAAATTAAAGTTCTGAATATAGAAATGCTTTCAAAAAAGCTTTTGGTATTAAACAACAAACAAATACAGTTTCTATTGGACCGTATTTTTCAAATCAACGGAATTGAAATTAAATGATTGTTAAAAAATTTAAAAGAAATTTAATATTAAATATTTAATTTTAATATTTAAACATTTTTATTTTCCATTTACACCCAATTTATTTTATAATATTTTTTATTTTAAAAATTTTGTGCAAAAATACATATTTTTTGAATTCAACTCCTTTCCCTTAATTTCCCTTGCTCATTTTTAATCCTTTTAATTTCAACCGTATTTTCTAAAATTACGAAAAATCTTTCTTAACTTTCTGAAAATCTGTTTTATATTTACTATTTTAACGTTTTTCGCTATCTTTAATAAATTTATATCCCATTTTTTGAATGAATGTTTTGGAATGGGCCACTACAAAAAGCCACCACAAAACCACAAAATCACGAATATTTCACAGTTCTAAATGCTTGAATACCTTCATTCCGTTTCATACAAAAGTAATCATCTTTAGTTAAGAAAAGAAAAACTGAAAATTTGAAGTCAAAAAAGAACAAAAAATATTTTTATGTTTTATTTTAATATGTACATAAATAATTTTCATTTCTATAGTAATTAATCAAAAATTTATAAATTTTTACTCCAAGAAATCTTCAAGTTTTCTACTTATTAAAGCATTTAAAAATTATTTAGTAAACATTATGTTAATATTTTTCTATTACTATTTATGTATATTTTTCTAAATATTTAATGAACTCCATCAATTATTTCCAAGTGTTCCACTTTAAAAATGCATGGGAAAATTAGAGCTCTGATTTAATAAAAGTTTTTAAATTATTTAAAAAATTAAATACCTGAGAGGAATAAAAATAATTAAAGCTAAGGGAAAGAAGAGACGAATAACTGGCCAGGGAAAGTGCCCAATAATAAGTAATATAGCCAATTGAAATAATTCAGTTAGTGTAAATAGATGCACAATTCTTTGAGGAATGCGTCGAATATAATGAGTAGGTGGATAGGAACGCTAATTAAAATAAATAAAAATAATTTTTTATTAAAATTAACACGTTCAAATTTATATTTGAAATTTTATTTTATTGGTCAGTTTATATTTGACTTGCTTAAAATCAGATTTTTGGCACTCTCAATTTCAGAAAAAATATATTGTCTCATATGTACCTGTTCAGTAAAAAGTAACAAAGTCCTTTGACAAATTTCATTTCCAATTGTACTTGAATATGCAAGAAAAAGGAAAACTCCATTAAAAACAGATGTTGGAAAATGCCGTAAATAATTAAGAGCCAAAAAATATGTTGGGACCATAAATAAATGTGCCAAAAGTGTAGCTAATCTTGATTCCCGATTTTTTACAATACTAAATAAATTATTATTTTTCTCAAAAAAAACTTTATTTTTTTACGTTGGCTGAACTGTTCCATTTAATAATTTATCTTCAACGTCAGCTTGGGCTTTTAAATGAAGAAATGATTGAGGTAAAGCTGCATGCATCCAAGGAAGGCAAAATATAGATAGGGGGATATTAATTAATGAAACAATCATAAAATCCCAATTTGCAGCTGGGCCTTTCTTTAAACTAAAATTAGTGGGGAAAATTTGGAAAAAGTGATTTTTGCTTTTAAAAAATGTTTGTTTTTTCTGATTCCGAAAAATAATTATAGTAGAATACTAAATAAATATAAACTTATTCTGAGCATTATCTACAGTAGAGGTAACTAGCATTTGGTCCATAGCAAAAAGTATCGCTAAAGGCAATCCCAAAAAACAGCAAAGTAAATGCCCAGTTAAAGGTAACAGCCAGAATTTTCCAAAATTAAATGCTGGGGTATTTTCATCCAAATTAAATGTTTCCTCTTTTAAAAATAAAATTTTAAAAATTCAAAAATTATGTGAAGGATTGGGGGAAGTTTTTTACATCCATTGTCTCGTTATTATGATTAACATGTTTTAAATTTACTTGGAACATCGCCAAACCAAAAATTTGCAATTAAAGTCATTGCACAAACGGCTAATGGAAGAGCATAATCCGAGACTTAATAAACAAAATTAAATAAAAAAATATAATTTAAAAACCAATTTCTCGTTTATATTTTCCAAAAAATTTTGTTTTTCGAAAGTTTGCAAGAGTTAATGCAAGCCAGGCAGTTCCAAACATTAATAATAAAAAGAGTAAACCAACAGAACGGTCACAACTCAATGGATCAAAATGAGGAGGTGGAGGTGGGTGATGTGGTGGAGGTGGTGGTGGATGAGGAGGAGGAGGTGGGGGATGATCGAAAGGGGGAGGTGGAGGAGGAGGATTGCCTTAAAAATTATGAAATAATTTTTTAATTTATAAACTAAGAATGTTTTAAATAAAGACCGGACGGGGAGCGTTATTTGAGAATCGAGATCTTAAAAAATACCGAAATTTCGATCGAGATCTCGTCTCGGTCCGGTCTCTAGTTTTAAATGGACTAAAAATTATTTATAAAAAAGTTTGCCTAAATGAGGAGAAGGTGGTGGAGGTGGATGTTGAATTAAAGACAATAAATGATTAGTTGAATTAATAAAAAGTTCAGAACAATGGGGAAGAAAGGCTTTGTCTAGCATTCTTTTTGCAGCTTTAAATGCTTCTATAGTTAAAGTACAGGCAATAAATAAACTAAATAATTCTTCTAATGATCTTTAAATAAAATTAATTAATATTTATTTTAACAACAACAAAATAACCGTTTAGCATATTTCATAACATTAGCAGCTTCAAATAAAGCAAATAAAAGTAAATAAAAACAGCACCACAAACCAATACCAGAATAAATTTGGAAAAAATCAAAATTAGTTGAATGAGAGATTCTTTCAATTACTTTTAAGAGAATAATTTTTTCAAAAAAAATTTCTAAATAAATTACCTTTAATATAAATAGAAATAGGTGGACTAGTTAATATGACCAAAAAAAGTTGCCCTCCAAATATACCAAAAAGTAACCCTCCAATCCATTGACCAAGAATTACTTTTTTAACATCTTTTTAATTAATTTTAAATTAAATATTTTTAAAAATTATCTACTAATTTTTGAGTGTGTATTTTCATCATTAAGCATTCCTAAAGCAATAGCTGTTGGAAGAACAATAAAAAATAGAAAAACGGCGGAACTAATTGTTTTTTGAAAAGAACGAGAATCTGCAATTCCATCAAGAAAATCATTTTTGTAATGAGGTAATCGACGTCTAAAATCTTTGATAAGGCCACGTCCAATATGCCATTTTGGAGACTAAAAAATAATAAATATATTTTTGTTTAAAATTATGGGCGATCTGGATTAACACTTAATGATCTTAATGTCGATCCTATGCCTCAATGACGTCACAATTGAATACAAAAATCCCTTCTTTATTTAAAAATTACCTCAACTAAATTAGTTTTTGTCTCTTTCTTCAATTCCTTTTCCTCAATTTCCTCCTCATTTTCAATATTTTTAGCTTTTTCACAAATTGCAGAAACAAATTCATATTCATTATTTGCATTTAAAAGTTCATTTCTTAATTCTGGATTAGCTAATAAAGTACCAAAAGTTCGAGTAATTTCAAAAGCTGATTTTGTTTCTTTCTTAACAACTGAGTAAATATTTTTATTTAAATTAATTTATACTTGTTGTAAAGGGCCAATAACGAGTAAAATAAATCTGACAAAATTTAGAGAAGGTCCAAAATTTGTTGGAGCCTCTAAACGAGCAAAACAAATTCGAGGACTAAATATATGTTCTAAAGAACAACTTGAAAAATATATTTTTTAAATTAAAAGAGAGAAAATAACTAACTAAAGTGCAAACCAATTTTGATCTTCAACAATACCTTTATGAAAGTCTATTTCAATTGCCTAAAATTAAAGTTATTAAATAATGGAAATCTATTCCTCAAAAAGACAATTTTATGAAGCTTTTGTTCAAGAAATTCTTAAAAATAAAATCAGAGTCCCCCCCCCCCTTAACTAATCAAAATTAAAAAATAATTAAATACCTGTAAATATTCTTGTAAATCTATTTAATTATAAGAAATTTTCTTTTAATAATATTTTAAATTACCTCGAGTATCCAAACAATTTTCTGATAAATTAAAACTATTTGTAAAAATTTTTTCAGAAATATTTGAGAAAGAAATATATTGTTTAATTGAAGAAATTTTTTGTATTTTGTCCTTTGGTACTTTATCCTTTTCGGTTGTGTTATAAAATTGTTTAGGGTTTTCTCCAATCATTCTTTAAAATTGAAATTTTTTATTTTTAATTCCTTTTTTTAAAATTTTATTATTTCTTATTCTAAATATTTTAAAATTTTTTTAATGTTGTAATATCCTCTTAATAACTTAATAATTTTGCAATTATTTTTTTTAAAGTTTAAGAATTATAGAAGCATTAAAATAATTTATATGGAAAAATTTATTGCATATACATACCTATGTAAAATAAATTTAGTCAGTAATTTAATATTATTAAAAAATATTTTTATTCAACTCAGTCTGTCTACTTAAATTCCCCATACCTTATTAAAATCTCTCCCAATTCAGTTTCCGGAATATCCAACAAAATAGCCGTATTTCCACCCAACAAATAATTTGTAATATCTAAACGGCCTCGAATTTCTTTTTGAAAAGATCGAGGGGAAATAATGGATTGACTTTTTAATATTAATTTATTTTTGTTAATTATTTTTTGTTGTTTTTGACAATTCTCTTCTTCTTTTCCCAATTCTTAATTAGGTAAATTATTCTTAAGAAAACTTTTTTAAAAAATTACCTTTATCAAGCTTTTTATTGTATACTTCCACACAAGTAAAACTATTATGTTTGTTGCAGTCATTATTATTTTGCTGTTGGGAATTATTAAATTTTAAGGACATATTTTAAAAAATCCTTTAATAAAAAATTAGAAATAAATTATTATTAACAAAATTTCTTTAAAGATGTTTGGCAAGGTTTGGCAAGGTAACTTTGTTTTTCCTTTACTTTACTAAATTTGGATTAAAACTAGGGTCTAATAGATTTATTTTATTTATACTTAAATCATCTCATGACATATTTTTTGTTACATTTTATAAATTTTTAAGATTAAATATTTAATAGGTATTTTTATTAAAAACCAATAAGGAAGGATAATGATAAATATATTAAAAAAATATATATTTAATCATTGATCAAGGGTTTTTATAAAATAATTTAATTAATCAATCATTTAATTAATTTACAATAAACTCCAAAAATTTTATTTTAATTTATTTATTTGGTAAATTTCAACGTCATTTTATTTTTAATTAAATATAATCTTCAAAAGTTCTTTGAAGGAAAAAAATTATTTCTAAAAATAAAGAAATCTCGATTAAATAAAAATTAATATTCTAGAAAATAATTTAAAATAAATTTATTTATTTTCTAAAATGTCTCATAATTTATTAGACAAAACATAAAATATATTTTCAAATAATAAAATAACCAAATCAAATTTTAATTCCATTTACTAGTTTAACGGAAGAAATGGGGATAAGAATTGAGGGGGAGAACGTAAAATAAAGGATAAACATAATTTTTTTATTATTAAATAAATATATATTTAATATTTATTTTATATTAAATAAAAAAAGATTAAATATTTTTTATTGAATATTTTTATTATATTTAAAAAAAATTTTATATATTATATTAAAATTAATTTTTAATTTTTAACATTTAGTTCAAATTTAAAAACAAGATTTAGACTGAATTTTAAATGAAAAATTTAAAATTTATTTTATCAAATTTTTGGAAGAAAATGTTAAAAATACTTTTGTAGGCTCTTCTAATGAATTATAAATTAAAGAGCTGACAAATGAGAGAAGCTTGGAAAATGAGAGAAGCTCTTTGAAGTTTTCTTAATTAAAAAAAGTTATTATATATTTTACATTAATTAATTAAAAAAATGTTCTGATCTAATGAATAAACTTTTGATAAATGAGAAAAATATATTATTTATACCAAATAATTGACCAAAATATTTTGCAAGAACGCAGAATTTGTAGAAATTTTTAATGATTAAAACCTGGTATTAAGTAATAATAGAAAGAATCACTCATCCAACTGGTAAGGTTTTATGGTGTTGTTATTACCTCTACATTTAATTTATATTCAAGAAATATACTTATATGTATAATAATACAAATAATGGATTTAATTTTTATTAATATTTTTATTTAAAAAAAACAATTTCTTATCTTAGAAAGCACTTTTAACAAAATAACAAAGTCATAAAATGTTAAAAATAAATTTTTGAGACAAAGAATCCTTAAAAATAACGTTATTTACTGATAAATTATTTAAATAAAAGAAAGAAAATTCTTGATTGCTTATTCATTTTAGTTTCAACATTTAATACATTAAAATAATTAAGCAGAAACGAAGACAATCAGTTCTGTAATTTAAGAAAACCTTTCATTAATAATTTCAACCAGGGATGAGCGCAAGAGAATCTCAAAAAAACGCAAAACGCAATGCGCTCACCCCTGATTCCAACTATTCGGATAGCTTTATATGAAAAGCAAAAAAATTTACAACTTTTAAAATCTATTGCTAAATCCAAAATATATTTAAAATTAACTACAATTTACATATGCATTTAATTATAAATTTAATTAATAATACAAGTTTATCACAATTAATTTTAATTAAGACAATGTGTATATTTTCTGTTAATATAAAATAATTTTTAATAGTTAATTTAAATTTTAAAAAAATCAAAGATTTAGTAAATATGTTTAATATTTTGTATACAACCAAAATAATATTATTTTTATTAATATTATTTTATTTTATTAATAATTCTTTTGCCGTTCGTACACAATCGGTTGCTGTTAAAGGAAAACTTTTATGTGGTCAAGCACCTGCTAGAAATGTTCGCGTTAAATTATTCGATGAGGATAGCGGTAATACATAAAATTGAATAATTAAATATATTTAAATAATTATTCAGGCCCTGATCCTGATGATTTGTTGGAAGCAGGTTTAGAAATTAAAAACTCTGTTAAATAAATAATTTCTTTGAATTCTCCCTTATTTCAAAAAATCTTAAAAAATATTTACTTAGCTTTTAGACTTTTAAACAGTCTATATGCCTTATTTATTTTAATGTTATTTATTTTATATTATTTATTTTATGTGCCTTATTTATTATCTATATTTTATCTTCAAATTTAGGATATTCTGATGCATCGGGAAATTTCCAATTAAAAGGTTCAACCGTTGAAACTACAAATATAGATGTTGTACTTAAAGTAATTCTAATTCCAATTAAAATTACTAAAATTTGAATTAATTATTTAAAGGTTTATCATGATTGTGATGACGGAATTAAGGTTTTTATTTTAAAAAATATTTCTCTTTTTAATTTTAATTTAATAGCCTGGCTCTCGCAAAATAAAATTCAAAATTCCCAATTCTTATGTGACAGAAGGGCAAAATCCGAAGAAAGTTTTTGATATAGGAACTCTTAATTTAGAAACAGTTTTTGCTTCGGAAGAAAGAGAATTAATTGTTAATAAAAAGAGAAGAAATATTTTATTTAATTGGGAGAATGAACTAATTAACGATATTATTTTTTAAATAAAAAATTATTTTTAAAAGAATTTATTCCTTAAAATAATTAAAAACCAAATAAAAAACAAAAAAGGCAAAGTAAAAATATTTTGATTAAATTGAATTGAGGAAGATGTTGAGGATGATGTTGAGTGTGTTGTTGTTGATTTAATGAAAGGTTGGAAGGGTTTGGGGGGAGGTAAAGGGATAATATATTCTCGTAAATCTGTAGATGTATATATATTTAAATCAAAAAGGTATTCACATCTTTGGCCGTGGAAGTTTGGGGCACACCTAAATATTAGTAATATGTACTGATCTCTCGTTTATTGTCTTATCAGTTTATAGGGGTATAAAAAGAAGGGGGGAAAGGAGGACAGAAATTATTCCAAAAATTGTTTTTGAATTTATACTATTTTCAAAGTTTTTATTTATTTTACTCGTTTAATAAAAAACATTAAAAGATTAAAACAAGGATTTAATTATTGTAAGGATAGGAGAAACATTGTACGGATGTAAGTATCTCTCTCACTAACCTGCAAAATGGAGATGATAATTGTTTAGTAAAATTATATTCAGAAGCTAATATATGGCAACGTCCTCCATTGTAACAATAAAACTAAAATTTTGGAATTAAAGAAAATAAATTTATCGTTTACTTGTTTAATTGTTGAAGGACAAGGCAAGATTTGTGGGTAGTTATTGAAAGAAGAACTTTGCATTGAATTTATTATATTATTATTAGAAGTAGTATTTACATTTTCTTGTCTTTTAACTATAATTTTATTAATTATACATATTAATAATTTTTAAAAATTTTAAAAGTTAATCGAGTGGATATAGGGTTATTAATTTAAATCGAGACAAAATATTTTAATGATTTTATATTGAAATTTGATTAAGTTATATTTGAGGCCACTTTGAGGTCTCATTTACAGGTAGAGTATAGTATAGTATAGTATAGTATCTCTCATTACAATAAAAAGGTTTATTTTAACTAGCAAAAAACTTAATAATTAATTAAATATTTAGAATAATAATACAAACATTTTTGTGTAGTTTTATTCCTTTTTTGTTGTTCTTTTTCAATTGTCACAGTACTTGTAGACTGTTCACTGTTAATTTCTTTTATGATTTGCCGTCGTCTCTTGAGTGAAGGCATTAAATATATTTTGAATATAAATTTACTATAATTATCTCAAGTATTTAGTATATATTTAAATATTTATATTTTGATGTAAATATTTAGTTAAATAAATTAAGGTTGTTTAAATTATATTTACATTAAAGGATTTTATTTTCAGAAATTGTCTAAATATTTAAAATATATTTTAAGATAAATCGGGAAAGATGGAAACTTTAAAAGGAGTAATAAAATATATTAAAATTAAATTAAGACAATCATTTAAATAAAATATTATAGTAGATAAAAATATCATAATTAAATCCGAATATTCGGGGATTCCCAGGATCCGCCAATCTTAGTCACAGATTAAAAATGTTAGTGATATTTTAAGCAAGATTACAAATATTTACAAAATATTTCATTTCCTGCTACCTCAAACATTTTTCAGAAATAAAATTAAAAAAGTCATTTGTATAATAATTATTTAAATTTAATTAAAAACAATTTATTTTTGATTAAATTATTTTAAAATTA